TGTGTGTGTGTGTGTGTGTGTGTGTGTGTGTGTGTGTGTGTGTGTGTGCGCGCACGCGCGCGCGCACGCACATGTGCGGGCAAGTGGTTGTGGCCAGGGATGGGGATTGGGGGATGGGATCTGAGGGTTCTAACTGATTCTGTTGCTTGCCAGGAGAAGAGCATCCCTCGTGCTGTGTTTCAGGCAGTTTGCAGAGCTCTGCCACGCTGAAGCATTTCCCTCTTGCCTGGCCCATCACTTTCACCTACGCAACTGTTCTGCTTTGTTCCCAGGGGAACTATCACCACAGGGGTGAGCACCATAATGACCAGAGTGCAAATAGCGGTGGTGGATGCTTCGCCCAAGGGAGGAAGAAGGGAAGCCAGGCCTGGCCTGTTAATGCTCAGAGGCCACACTGGCACTGCCTCCTGCATAACCGAGATGGTGCCCAGGGCCTCTCTTCCATGGATCTGAGCTAACTTCACGTGATTTCACTCCACACACTGAGGCTTCATGGCTTCAAGACAAAGTCATTGTGACTGCTAGCTGGTAGGAGCTATGTTGGCATGGCATTATTGCTATCATATATCTGCTGCAATACAAAAGTCAGATAAAAGCCCTTGTCAGAGTCACACAGCTATGAAAATAAACCAGTGGGTATGAACACCAATCATGTCGAGAGGTCTGGGGAACCCCTCTGAGGGACAATGAAGCCCATGAAGACACTTGATGGTGGGACCCTGTGCTTTGGGGATTCCACTTTAATTGTTCTATTTTATTCTATTCCAGAAGAGGAAATAAAATATGGGCAGAGGTGACTCTGGAAAGCAGCTCACACACAGGAAACACACTCCACAACCTCAAATCTGTCCAGGGAGTGTCTTCTTCTCTGGAGGGGACCACATGGGTGTAATCCACAGGGTTCCAGCCGAGGCCTTCCCCCCTGGTTCTGCCTCTCCACCTGCCCCTTTCTCCAGCATCTTTCTCTTCCAACACATACTTTTAAAGAGACTAATGGTATCTGATCTTTAGAACATGGATGCCGGTGTCTCCCAGAACCTGGGCAGTGATTTCCTTTCGTTCACAGTGTGTTCTGTGGCAATGTGCTCTAGCCCCTGCTACCTACCAATTGCTACCTACCTGGACTCTGACTCACACATTGCTCCCAAAGGCCAGCCTACTTAGTGCCTGAAAGCTATCCCCCCACACACACACCCACACTGAACGTAAGCATCACATATGTTCTTTCTACAAATTGGTATACAGGTGCCATTTAATCAGTTCAAATTTGGAAGCTACATCTTCAAGGGTCTGAGCGTTCACTCCCCATAGTCCCCCTTTACATATTTTTTTTTCTTATCAGACATACAGCTTAATCAATTAACAAACTAAACAGCTTATATACTGGCAATATATTACAGATGGATTTATGTCAAAGTAATAGATCACATGACGTGGGCCACGTAGTACCCCAGTGCATGGTGTGTTGGTAGAGCCCTGAGGACACTGACAGGAGCTTCTCTAAGTGCTGTGTGAATACAGACACATGCGGATCTGTAGCTACATCCATCTGACTAGGCCAAGAGGAGCAGGCAGATGCGCGATAGAGGCACACACATGCTGGGCGGGGCTACTGCACACCTCGCCATGCCATTTGAAGAGCAGTCACGGGTTTCCGGTTTCTGCAGCCACTTGAGTTACACTTCAGGGAAGGGCTTCTCTAACTGTGTCTGGTTTGTCTCGTGTAGTAAGCGCTGTTGGAAGGAGACCAAAGCGAGAGCAACTAGAAGTTAGGTATACATTTCAGCTCAGCTGTGATACAGAACTTTGGAGAAGCACGCAGAAGATTTATCTTAGATTTAGGTTGGATCCCTCTCTTGCTAGTTTCTTGACGTTGCATGAGTGCGTTTGTGCATTGTGAGAGTGTCTCTGTGTGTGTGCGTGTGTGCGCTTGTGTGTGCGTGTGAGTGTGCGTGTGCGTGTGTGCTGTTCTATCGCGTCATCTCCTGAAGAACGCCGGGTTTCGAAGGCAGGCGGCTAGTCACCTGCAACAACCCAGCGGCCCTGCCGAGGCTTCCAGGCTGCTGTCAGTGTCGGAGGCGAGGGTCTGGTCCGTGGACATGGAGGAGATGTCGTTGACAGACGAGGATGGAGGGAGGCTCTCACTGCTGTTCACTGCTGCACCTGTGCTAAGAAAATGAAGACCGACATGACTAAATCTGAAACCATACCCATGTAAATGCTGTTCAGAGTCCTGGGAGGGGCAGGACCAAGAAAAAAATGGCTACACTATCTGTTTTGCAAACCTGCACAGAACTGATATGGGAACCTGAGTTTGATGGTGAAAATCAAGAAGAAACAATTCCGAATCCCTATCACATGTCACATGTGTTCACATTTACTCAGTGGTTACCGGTTTCACTCCGTATTTGAAATCACTAATCACACTGCCCCATCCTTAAGTCCTGTAGTGGTGTAATGTGCCTGAGCTTGGGTGAAGCCAAGGCATTTGCATCCTTAGGCCCCCGGAGGCTGTCCTCAGAGAACCACTGGCTTGTAGAGATGAGAGATGAATAAAACCCTTTAATGTATCAGCCTGATCCTGATGTTTTCAATGAAGGAAGAAAAGCAAACACATGTGATGGTCTTAGCCCAAAAACGGGCTAAGGCAAAGCTCAGTGGTCTGAATTTTTTTATGACTATAGCTCTAGGAAAATAGAAGTATATAAATTACAGAGTATTACATAATCATTAAATATAATACAAAAATGCAAATCCATGTAGAAAAAGCCAAGACTTCTGGGGAAAGTTAATGGCAAGAAAAAGGACAGATAAGCCAGAGTGTGCCCTTAGAACTTGGGCTTCTTTCCAACGGCCTCTCTTGCTTGGGATCTGCAAATACTGGGTTAAAAAGTTGAAAGTGTCTCTCATTCTGCTACAAGACTCTGAAACTCTGAGAAGGTACTCTCAGAACACCCCGCTGTGCCTCGATAGCTTCTAGAACAGTGAAGGAAATATGAGCTAAAGGCACCAGAAACCAAAGCTTCAGCCTCCTGGAGACAGCAAATTTCCTGTTACTCCATTTCCATTTCTATATTCTTTGTGCCTAAGTGATTGTTAACAAAGTGTATGCTTTGTAGAAGAGGTTACTATTTAAAATACCTATAGCTTAATCAGGGACAAAGAATTCATACTAAAATTGTGTCATTGGAGAAGCAATAGTATGAAAATGTATTGGTGAAGAATTATAAATGAAATAAGAAACGACTGAATTATCACACAGACTCAATATTAAGTCAGAAAACAAAACACAGCCAAGGAAACAGAAGCCTTCAAACAGTGTCTGCTACAATAACAGATATTTTATGGGGGGAATAGAATAAAAATATAAAAGCAAATAGAGGGGAATTTCAAACATTTAAGACAGATTCGTACATTTGCAGAAAGTCACAGTTTTATTTTATTACAAAATAATTATATAAACAATTGGAAATACATTTAAAAAAAAGAAAACGAAAACCAGTGTACACTGATGCCCAAGTTAATTGCAGGAATGATTAAGTTTTGTTGTATTCCTAGTGTTCTTTTAGTAAATCTCCCTGTCTGTGATCATCTCTTATGTATTCTTTTGTACCTTGATAGTCTCACTTATCGAAACTCTGAGGTACTTTTCATGATTTTTAAATTTAAAAAAAAAAAATTCTGACACCTCCTAATCTTAAAAGTAAATAATTACTGTCTTTGTCAGAGTGGTACATAATGTAAATTTATTTGGCTTCAGTTTATTCTAACGTTCATTAATTACACCCTCATAGAAAAGAGGAAGGCCAGCTCCTCATACTGCTAGCAGGCAGCATTGAACTCCACAATGGAGCTGTGTTTACACTCTGAACTCGAATTTCATTAGACCAACATCTTTCACATCCTTCAAAAGAGCTGATCTGTAATAACCCAATCTAACTTGATGCTCTTCTCAGTGTCAGCTTCACAGCAGGGGAGAAAACAGCACACGGTGCTCTGATAAAGGCTGCATCCATTCCAGATATACAGAATGAGACTGCTTTGTCATGCTGCCCAGTTGTATCTGGGAGTATGCAATTTTATGGCTCTCTAATAAGGGACCACAGTTTATATTTAGATTTTACTGTAGAGTTGGAAAATGTCTACGTCCTCCCACAACCATTTTATGAAGCCGTAACTCATGTATCAGATAAGTTATAGATTTGATTTGTACAATTCCGTGTTTTTAAGCACGTTCTGAGTTGTACAGCATAACCATATTTAATTGTGTATCATTTTCACCACCCCAGAGGGAGTCTTAGGCTCAGTGTCTCAAACACCTATTGTGTGTGTGTATGTGTAGGTGTTTGTGTGTGTGTGTGTGGGGGGTGTTTGTTTGAGTGAGCTAATGTGTCTGATGAGAGACCAAAAGATAAATTAGCAGCTATTATTAAGACCTAAAGTATGTGGGTGGAGAAGTCCAGTAATGCCCTGAGGGGAAGGACTGCCTTACTGCATTCTTTCCCCACCCACTAGAGATAACAGTTGCTAGGAAACTGGCACATCCCCCTAGGGAGGGACACCAGGTCATTATGGTCTGGGGACATTCCTATAGCCAATCAATTCAAAATGTAGCATTTTGACCAATAGATGCTTGCCAGGCAGGAATTGCCCCTGCCTTGGGCATGCTGGGAGGGACCAGAATCTTTAAATCACCCAACTAACCTGGGCACAGCGTGCTCAGCTCCCACCGCTTCGGCGGTGGGTGTTGTGAGCCCAAGCTGCAGCTTGTAATTTACAATAAAAAGACCCTCATGTGTTTTGCAACAGAGTCGATTCCCGCAGATCTTTTGGGGGCTCGCGAACTGGGTGTAACATCTGAATGTATATAGATGTATGTACATAGATGTGTATGTGTACATGTGCAGTCCATAGAACTACTTGGAGTGTCGGGCCTCAGGCACTGTCCACCCTCTGTGTTTTCAGGCGGGGTCTCTCACTGGCATGGAGTTCATGCAGTAGGCCTGACTGGTTGACCAGCAGGCCCTATAGATTTTCCTTTCTCTACCTCTCCAGTACTGAGTTTACAAGCGCGCATATCCAGTGTTCAGATTTCCTCCCAGAGTGTAGGAGATGGAATTGAGTTCTTCAGCTTTGCACGGGCAAACACTTTGCAGATGGAACTATCTCTGCAGCCCTCTAGCAGCTTTTGCCTCCATGACTTTGTGAATTCATATACATGGAAACATGCGATGTGAATGTCATTGGCCTCTGTCACATGTTATGACATTAAAAGCAAAACATGTCTTGAAAGAGGAAACTTGAATAGCATGTCAGCATTCCATTCCTCTACAGTTGAGTAACAGCCATTGAACTACATACATCAAATTTGGTTTGCTTATTTCCTGGTTGGTGAGCATTTGCTAAATACTGAACTATCTCCATTTTGAGGGTGTCATGAATAATGCTACCACGGTGCTGTCACGAGCATTCACATAGAAGCTTTATACGAAAATGATTTCATATCCCTTGGGGACCAAGCAGTTCTCTGCTAGTTCTACTTAATTGATCCTACTTGAAGATGTGTTTCTGAAAGTGAGCATGTCAGTTTACAGTCCTGCAGGCAGCTTCAGAGAATTACAGTTTCCTCACACCTCCATTAACATTTATCAGCTTCTGTGATTATAGACGCCGAATATGTATAAACTGTGGGTGATCTGCATTGCCCAGTGGCTAATCATCTTAAGTACCTTTCCATGGGCTTGGTGGTCATTTGTGTATGCTCACTGGAGAAAAATATGTTTGTATGTTTTGGTCAATTAAAAAATACTTTATGTCTTATTATTATTGAGCCATAATAGCACACCACCAGTGGGAAACAAGTCCTTCTCAGGTATGTAATTTGCAAATGGCGTTCTCTTACTATGGATTACCATTTTTTTCTGGAAATTTTCTGTATACAAACAGATGTTAGATTTACTCTTCTTGTTCTTGGGTGGTAGTTCTATTAAAAAAAAAAAAACATTTTCTAACTTAAGACCATGACGATTTACTTCCATAATTTCATTTTAGGCTTTTACATGTAGTTCTCACTCTTGGTTTCTGACTCACTTTGGGCTCATTTCTGCTCATGCACTGAGGCAGAGGTCTGTCTTCAGGCTTTTGCAGGGGGGCAGGCTATCTCCTTATTTCAGCACCATTTATTGAAAAAGCTATTTTTCCTATAAGATTGTTGTGGTTCCCTTGTGAAATATGAATTGATCGTCTTTTATCATAGAGTACTACTCTACTCTACTCTCTGTCTTATTGATCTGTAGTTGGGTCGTCACGGAAATAAGCCGGAAAGGCCCTAGGAATTGGGATATGTTTCCATAAATTGCAGCTTCCTACAGGACATGATGGTGGTGAGACAATCAAGTATAAAGAGTAGCTAAGCAAGCAGGGACTCCATTTGGCTTGGGCTAAATCTACAACCTTCTCTGAACAATATATCCAGCAACCTGTAAGCCACCTCTTACCCCCTAAATGATGAAACAGGAGACAGAAATTGCCAAGTAGTTTAGGGTAAAGGACTCCAAAAGTGAACAGATTTTTCCTATTGGCTAACAGACATAAATGTGTTTGCCTGAGGCCAGAGATGCCAGAGATGTTTGAGGCAAATCCAAATCGTCTTCGATTCTGCCCTGGTCAAATGCCAAGAGTGAGGCCTGGTTTCACCTTGCTTCTCTTTCTGGGAGTCCTAACTGAACCTGAGAGGCACAGAGGTACCTTCTGAGCAGGGACTATGCTATCCAGCCTCCTCCTCCTCCATGTCTCCATCCAGTAAAGGTTTGGACTTAATACAGTATCCTTGCTGCTTTGAAACCCATGTGAGTCTTAAGCCCATTCTTGACTAAAATGCCAAGAACCTGGAAACACCTGCATCAGATCCCAACCATGGCTCACTGGCCACACCCTAATCACCAGTAACAATGGAGTGTCCTGATCCCAAAGCCTTCAACCCTGGCTCCAGGAAGAAGACTGATCTTCCAGTTTAGGTAACTGGGGCTCAGAGCTAAACCCTCCTGTAGGACTTTCCTTGCCTTTGTCTAATATTTTCTATGAGTTGTAATACTGCTGTATGACAGGCAGAGACAAGCTGAGAATTTCTTCTCAGCTTTGGCCAAAAATTAAAATAAACTCAT